CCCCAGAGGGTGGCCAGTGCTCTGCTTACGGAGGTGGGCCGAGTGTTTAGAGCACCGCCTGAAACACAGTAGGCACTGAATAAACATGCACGGAATATGACTCCCCCCCGACGGGGTAAAAGACTGGTCGTGTCCAGCCCATCCTAAGATGTGTACGGTTTTATGGCTTCGGGTTCTGCACAGCATCGTGGGAGGGGGCGTGTCTAACATCACAACTGAATACTCTCTCACGCTCAAGCCAGCAACACAGCCCTCCCTGAGCTGAGGACAGACAGTGTTTCCTGTAGAACTTCGGCAGCAGAGTGTCAGGAGAGGCAGGTTTGGGTTCTGCGCCGAGAATCCAAATGCCCCGAAGCATCCTCAGTCCCTAACCCGAAAGGGAAGAAAACTCCTTTCAGAAGTGCCCTGTCAGGTACTCTGGCAGAACGTTATTTTGGGCGTATGACCGAATCCACCGTGGAACTGAGGTTAAGAGCTCTTTTTGGAGATGCCAAACAGAACATTTAATGTTTTTCTTAAAGTGAAAGGGAGTATCCCTACCAAAACACATTTAGCATATATAACTTTCAGCACCTTAAAAAAAAATCACATATAATAGTCTGCAATACCAACATTTACTTGCCCCCAAAATAGTACCAAGAAGTGGCAAAAATGGAGAAGTGTTACTAAAGAGAGAGATGAAAGAAAACGTGTTCTGTTCCAAATGGGATGGCATTTTTCTTAAAAAAAAAAAAACAAAAATGATAATATAGTGCAAGGAATATTACTTTAATCAGCAATGATATGTTCTGAACACTTTTGCTTTGCAAACCTAATGTCATTAAGAAGAAAATATTCCAGAGTCGACTACAGCGTTTAGCCTGCCTTGGAACGCACACCATCTACGTGAAATAGAATTAGCCATTATGCGGTGCTGCTCGGAACGCAAATGAAACATCTCCTGAGCACTTTCTTCCACCTCTCAATGCGTCTGGGGACGTCTGACCTTGAACGGAGAGTCTCCGCTGAAAATGTCGTCCACATGTCTGACGCTCTCCCCCTCACACATGCACTCTGCCATCCACCCTCAACCGAACGGGCTAAATTACATTCAGATTTTTGTGGTATCATAATAACTTCAATATGGGATATATTTTCAACATTCTGGTCAGAGACTCCTTTCTTCCCCGCCTCACCCTCCTTCCAAGTTATTTCAGGCTTGCATATTTCATTTTCACATCTCAGTGGGACGCCCATCACATAGCATTTATTTGTGAGGTCTACAGGCATAATGCGGGGGATTGTGAACTGCCATGTCCAAACCACACACTGCGTGCGTACGTCTTCGAGAATGAAAAAGGATTCCTTTTTTTCTCAAGATATATAAGCTGTCGCAACAGTGTAAGTCCAACGTGAATGCAACAGCCTAATCAAAGATGAAGGGCAGAACAAGCAATATTAAAATGTCTTTATGGATTCATTCCTCTCCAAGTTATGTTTTTATCCAACGTCCTGTCTCATTAATGACTTCAATGGACATAATGAGTATACACACCTCCTAATCCCACCGAATTCAGAAGAGAGTCGAACGAACTTCCCCCGCATGGTTTGGGAGGGTTGACAGCAGAGAATATGGATGTGCGGTGGAAAGGGGCTGTGAGAAGAGGCCAAGTCCACCCACCTGCCTACAGGGATGAATACACGTATACTCCCAGTAAAATGAGGCTGCTCCGAAAGATCTCGAGAGTCGGAATTCCCACAGTCTCTCTTGGGGTGCAATCCCTACCTTTGAGAATGCTTACTTCTAGGAAGCTCTTCCTTTGGATCTAACCGTGTTTCAGGAGCACGTGCACAGTGCAGCCACACAGGGGCCCCCTCCTGCAAGGGCCCCGCATTTGCTTTCATGCTTGATGTCACCATCTTGAACTTCTCAGTGATTTTATCTCTGAACTTGTCAGTGAAGTCTGATGAGACAATAAAGTGCGTGTGAGAAGGGAAGACACACAACCATGTGCGCACCCTCCTCCTCTGTGCCCTATTCATACACGGGCCCCTAAGCTCTGAATTCCTGTGGTCCCGGGATGAATGGGAGGCTCAGAGCAAGTACGAGGAAGGCAGGTTACACCTGAACAGATAGAGCAGGGGCAAGGTCAGCCCTAAAAGGCTTTTCATTTGAACTAGAACTTGTTTTTGCATGAGGAAAGAAGGCAATAGATTCAAAGAAACAGGAGTGACTAAGGAAGCCCATTTCACTCCTGCTACTTTCCTGTACTGGTCCACTACTATGCTTCAGGGACGGCAGTGACAGGGAGCCACTGGGCTCTTGGTCCTTCCTTCATCATCAGGAGGCAGAAGGTAGAAAGTGTGGGTAGATGTGTGTGTTGCAAGAAGTGAAATGCAGACAGGCTTTGTGCAGATTCCACAGTTCTGTAAGAACGAAATAGATACGCGTGCATTGGCTGCCAGATACAAATGGTGCTATTATGATGAGTCCAGAAATGAGTCTAATGCTGTTCTATCTGTACTAAAACTGACATTGCCCGTTATAAAGATTAATGGTCAAATGCATGCTGTGACAATGTAAATTTTTAATTTTCCTATATTCAGAACATAAAATAACAAAAACACCATGATGGGAGAGACAGGCTGCACAAAGTAAAGGCTTTGTTCATAGAGCCTGTTTTAACAGCACTGGAGCCCTTTCCCTGCTTTTCTGGAACAAGGGGTCCGCGTTGCCATTTTGCACTAGGCCCTGTAAATCACACCGCAGGCCCGTCCTGCCTCCCCATGCTCCCAGGCACATGCGCTGTGTCCATCCTGCCAATCACCTCTCGCCAGGCACCCAACCAACACTGGCTGCACTAGGTAAGGCGTTGTGCCAGGCTCTGAAAACATGAAAATGAGTCAGATGCCATCCCCACCCTCCAGTGCAGTGGAGGACACAAATAACCATCCCTGGAAAGGTAATAATAGCTACCTTGCACGACTTCAGTGCAAAATGTAAGTAATGCATGTAAACTGTACAAACCACTTCCGATCACGATGAGCACTCTGTTCAGTTACCTCAATACAACCTACTGGGGCGGGCCCATGCCCGTGTCCATCGTGTGGCTATAGACGCAGGGGTTTAGAGCAGTTAGAAACCTGCCCACAGGGACTTGGTCTCTGAGCGGTAGGATCGGGACCTGAGGCCACCCCGGTCTCTTTGATGACTAAAACTGAGCTCGTAAGTGATCGTTCTTAATAGTGTAACTCGAACCACTGTATTCTTTATCTTCTACTACAGTCACACCTCGGGACTTGTTGGCTTCAGAACTCGTCACACCCTGGACTTACTGAATTTTGACAAGAAGAAAGCGCCTCGGCAGTCAGTGCCTGCTCGGGACCCGTCACACCTGCTAGAGCTTGCATGAGTCACGCCGCCGCCCCGCAAGAGAAGATGCTTCATCGTTCGCTGCTTGTTGGTTCTGACACTCATGATGCGTTCCAGAACAAATGAACGAGTACCGAGGTAAAACTGTATGCTAATGTCAACATTGCCACTTTCTCACAGGTCATTTTCAGCTATAATTTTATCTATCTAAAAAAAAAATGTACTCTTAATTTTTTCCAAATGATTTATTAGTGTTTGATTTAGGATATAAAATAAAGGTGGATTTTTTTTTAATTGTACAATCTCTTAACACTACTGTAGAAAACTGGATTCAACGGACAAAAGTTGTTATTTTCAAAATCATGTTCGTGACTTTGCCTGCTAAAATACAGTGTGCCGGTCAAAAATATGTCCTTCAGGGCGGGCAGACCTGGCCCCAAACCCTGGCTCCGCCCCACTGGTTTCGGAGAGGGACTTAACGCTCAAAGCCTAAATTTTCCATTATGTAAAATGGGGATGAAAATAGTACCTTGACTACCTTACATGGGCATGTGTAAATTTAAACAAGGTAATCCTTCTAAAACATTTAAAGTGACACCTGGTACCTAGTAAGCACTCAAAAATGGTATTTTTAGTACAGTTATTTTTAGTACCATGTTCTCGTACCTGTGCTGAAAAAAAGATTTGAAATGACTTTTTTTCTTGAAATGGTTCCCAACAATACAATAACTAAGTACAAGGTTCTCTAATTTCCAAAAAGTCTATTATTTCTTTGTAATAAAAGCAACTGGTGATCATAGATACCTCTACAAAGCAATGGATCTGCAATCTTTTCATTTAAGTAATCCTTTACCCAAAACCCCAAATATAAACCCCCATTTCTCCCCTTTCCATTTAAACCACATATTCCAAAGATCAAGGGTAAATGAGAGTTTATGAACTGTGTATAAAGAACGGAATAAACGTAATGAACTAGTCCTGTCGCAAAGCACAACTGTCGCAGCTCTCTCTGCCCCTGGGAGCGACACTTGCACTTGGGGACACCGAGCGAAGTGCAACGGCCGGCTGCTCCCTCCGGCAGGAGAGGGGAGCATGAGCTGCCCGAAGGGGTGCCGCGGGCACCCGGGCGGTCAACAGACGGTGTCCCTGTCTCCTCAGGGGTTGCAGGGCACATAGAATAACAGACTGGGTATCACCTAAAAATGGACCATATGCTGATTTTTAAAATAGCTCTAGAAAATGAAGGCTTTTATTTGACATTTTTATAATAATTAAAAAAAAAACAGGATTTGGGTTAAAAAAATTTAAAAACCCAAGCCACTATGTGGTATCTTAAAAAACATGATAGCCATGTGCCCCAGCCAAGTGACTCGGTTGGAACATCATTCTGTACACCAAAACCCTGAAGGTTCCATCGCCGGTCAGGGCGCACACCTAGGTTGTAAGTTCAATCCCTGGTCGGGGCACATACGGGAGGCAACTGACCGATGTTTCTCTCTCTCTCTCTCTCAACCTCTCTCTCTCTTCCTCTCTCTCTCGTGCACGAAACAAGCCAACAAGCAAAGCCATGCCAGCCATGTGATATCTTCCTAAAAGCACCATTTTCCAACAGCAGTGGCCGTTCCTGCTGCAGACCGGGGGTCCTTACCAACTCTTGAGTGTCCTGCTGCAGCGGCAGGAGCGCGGCCTCCAGAATCGCAAGCTGGTCGGCGCTGAGCTTCTGCCACAGTCCGATCAGCAGGATCAGCAGGCGGGTGGCACTCTTCAGCCGGGTGAGGGACTGGAACAGACTGTCCTGGTTTTCCTCGATAGCGTCTGCTAGAGCGATTATCTGCAGAAATCACCAGCTTCGGTTAGGGGTAATTTCCCAGTTCTTGGGCCCTCCACAAATTACCGTTGGCTCACTCCTGTTTTTCTTTCAAACAGCTCGATGAGCTCTGTCTCCCCAAACACAAGCTATATTGAGTAATAAAAGAGTTATCATTCATCTGCTCCCTTCCTCCTGTGAAAAATATGCCCCAAGTAATTCCAAATCCATATGGCCAGGAGATAAAAAATATCCATGAAATCAGCTTAATGGGGACATTGTTCAGTGTTGCTTCACTGCGGTGACCTTCTACAATATATGATAATATAAGTAACCTCTACTACAGTTACAATAGCCTTTAACACTAGCTGCAGAGATGGGTCGACTTTAAAAATTCTTAATAAAATAATTGCATTTGCCTCATAATTTAAAATCATAAGTTCATTGCACCCTTTTCAGAAAATCACTATCTCCCTCTGATTATTATTCTTTATCCATGTCATGGTTGGAATATTAATATTTCTTTATTTTATCCAAAAGGCAGATAATGTCCAAGCACTTAGCCAGTTGAGTAATGTGTCATTTTTGAAATACAAATGTCAGGCACCAGCCCACAGGGACCTGGAAGAAAAAAAAACGTTTAAGGTGTGTTAGCTTTACAACGCCAAACCTACTTGGGATAAAATTGGCAGGAAGGAGTAGAACTGCTTTTTTTTTTTTTTTTTACCCTCTTGAGTAGTCCCGTGGAAAAAAGAACTAAAGCAGCAACTGGATGGGACATCCAAGACTGCCCACTGGTGTTTTATTTTACGTGAGTGCCTTGGGGAATGCTGCGCTCATTAGAAGTAATGAACTGACCGGCCCCAGGGCTCACGGCGTCCGGCAGCCCCCGAGATGGGGACGGCGAGAGCCAGAGCAGCGCACGCTCCTCCCTGCAGGCCCACCGACCGGCTTGAGTGACTGGCGCTCAGGTGAGTAGCGGAAGTCTAGTGCACATGGTCCATTCGGGGCCGTTGCATGGGCTGCTGACGCTGGCCCAAAGAGCCTGTGAAAACGCCATCATTCAGACAAGCAGACTCTACAGGGCCTCCCCAATTCCTCCTCCCAAATCCCACAGGCGGAGTGGCGCTGTAGGGGGACAGTCCTCAGAGCGTCCAGGAGACACTGGAACAGAGAGGCAGGCGAGAGAAAGACAAGAGCGCAGACTGGGGTTCTCCACCACATGGTTCAGGGCTTGCAGGAGTTGCAAAAGGCAGGGAATCCACATTCGGCTCTCCAGGGAGCCCCGGGTGTTTGGACCAAGGTCAGCAGCACAATCAAGTACTTTGTTTCCTGTGTGCCTAGCACTGGGCCTCTTTCCATCATACTCAAAAGACGGGCAAGACATCCTACAGCCCACGAGGATCTTATAATTTTTTGGATAGAAACATACATACACAACCAGTTAGTGGAAAGAAACATTACTGTAATAATGCCTTAATTATGTGGAACAAAAAGTAAGTGTGAAAGAAGTTACCAAAGGGACAAATTATTATGGGCCAGAGTTAATATCCCTGGGGCCTTTTTTAATCCAAGGAGGCTTGGAACTCATCCCTTGCCCATTACTCCCAGCAGTCCCCTCGCAGAGACAGAAAGAGGCCACTTTCCTTAAACCAAAACACCTGGAATCATCTGTGTCCCCCACCCTCCCCACAATTACAGCTAACTCCTGCTAAAGTCTAAATTTATATATTTTTCCCTTCCTGGGAACATTACCAATTTAGCCTCATTGAGGGGGTCATGGTATTATAGCACAGATGCTTATTGTCAATAGGCCAGATCATACAAAGATCAAGGTCATGCATACCGCCTGAGTACCAGGTATGTGCACAAATGTGCAGGAAGCACTATAGGGAATTCGATGAAGACAAATAGCTCCACCTTCAAAGAGTTTAGAATGGAGAAAGGAAAACAGGTCAAGGCCAATGTGGAGCACGCAGGGAAGGCCCCACAGGCTGGAATGAAGAACGCCACTGACAGGAGGGTTATTGTGGAGAAAAACCCGTCCAGTGAGCTGGGCATCGACCGCATGCCAAGCACCCTGCTCTATGCATTTGCCCATCACACCTCCACCGTGACTTGGCTGGCACTATCTCCACTGTGCAGATGATGCCCCCGAGGCTTAGCCCGCGGAAGGCGTGTGCCAGTACTGCACACAGGGCATGCACATGGCGCCCTTGCTTAGGAGGGCTCCGTGCCTGGTGTAGTGCCCTGCTGTCCTGAAATTCTTAATAATTTCATTTCCGAAGCTGTGGCTTGTAAGTGAAGTCCGTGGGATAATGGAGCGTGCACGGGAGCAGAGGAGACGTGCTCACTAGCTGCTAGAGCTACACGCTCTTAGACTTGCACCTACCACCGGCATCGTATAACACAAAGATGAATGGCCGAATTCATACTAACAGTTTAGAATGTTAACTTTCCCTTGCTTGGGGTGACATGAGCTAGAAAAGATTAGATACCATCAGCAGGTGTGAAAGGGAGACCACTGAGGAAAGGGAAATGCTTTCTACTTTAATAGCTGTTTGGACAGCACTTTCTTCCTGCCGTTAACAAGGGCCTGCCTTTTCATTCTGCCCCGCGAACTGCAAATTCAGTCGCTGGCTTGACCATTACCCAGCGAACAGGAGACCAGGGTTGAGAGGCCGCAGTCTCTCGCTCCCAAGCCCGCAGGAGTCCTGAAGCCCCTCGCAGGTGTGGAGCAGGGCCCACCCACTACTGAATGGGCAGGGTCTCTGAAAGGAAAGGAGGAAGCAGCAGCCAGCTCCAACCGGCTCGGGGGGGAGAACCGATTGTTCAAGTTCCGGAAATGTGCTGAGCCAGCTGTCAAACACGGCCACTATGAAAAATGAAATTACACAAATTTAAAATTAAATTAAATACATTAAAGCAAAGGTAATACATACTCAAAATTACTTTTTAATTACTTGACTCTTATCTAGGTCCTTGAGGTAATTTACATCTATTATCCCCTACAGACTGGAAATAGAAATGGCTACTGCCCATTTCTTGCCCAAGTCTACATTCCGTGACATCATGCTGGTCACTTGAAATTGGCCATGGTGGAAGCATCTGCCACACAGAGGTGAACAACGCCTCAAAGCCAGCCTTCTCCCCAGGGAGCTGGTGGCTAAACACTCACCAGCACGCCACTTAGGACAGGTACCTGAAATTTGTCCTCAAGAATAGATACTGGATGTGGGGGCTTTAAAAGTGAAGGGAATGCCCTGGCCAGGTGGCTCAGGTGGTTGGAGCATCGTCCCATGCACCAAAAGGTTGCAGGTTCAATTCCCAGTCAGGGCACAGACCTAGGTTGTGGGTTCGATCCCAGGTTGGCTATGTATGGAATGTAACTGGTCGATGCTTCTCTCTGACATTGGTGTTTCTCTTTCTCTCTCTCTCAAATCACTAAACAAATCCTCAGGTGGGAATTAAAAAGGAAAAGAAAAACTGAAGGAAACGACTTGACCAACTGCATTGAAGCAGAAGAGTGAGGCTGCTTGTCTGGAGAAGAACGAGTGTTCCCGTCGGGGAACAGCAGCTGATGAGCCAAACGAAGATAGCGTGAGCAACCGCTGTCAAAGAACCACAGCGTCAGGATGAAGGACATGCACTCCACGCCGTCGGCACTGGGGAGCCACGGAGGGTGGGCTTCGCCGGATGGAGGGGACCCTCTGAGCCACGTCGGAGCACGGTGAACATTCGGGGCATTTGCTGGGACTTAAGAGAGGCGTTTACGCATGTTCCTCACTACCAAGGGAAAACTCTTACTAAGTGTAACAACATGTCAGTGCGTGGACCCACCCAACTTGCTAAGCGCAGCTGTGGTGGTGGAGAGACTCCTCCGTGAGACAGTGGAGAGGGCCACGGGCTCTTCCCTGAGCGGGGCCCACGGCGCCTCCGTCCAGGACATGAGCCACTCACTTCTCCAGGCCCCAGTCCCCGCCTGGACAAGTGTCTGCGCCCTTGTGGAGAGAGTCCGCTATCCCCAAATGGTCATGGCAACTGGAAAGAAAAGGAATAAACAATTCCTTATGTCAATTACCCCCAAGGAAAATCTCCCTGACCCACCGGCCAGCACGAAACACTAAACAGATCTCCGTGTTCTCCATCTGGTCGTGCACGTAACAGCCAAGTTTACTTTGTCCTCCATGAGAGCCAAATGAATGTTGCGGAATTAACACAATAAAAAAAAAGGGCTGGAAAAACCGGCCCCATCAGGAGTCAGATCTGACCAAGGCCGAGAAGATTTCGCAGCTCACCTGGAACTGAGAAAATGAGGCCAACCAGCTGCAGGACCTCAGCGTGAGGGGGAGGGATCTTCCCGAGCTCATCACAGGCTGTGCAAGATGTGTGTTCCCTGGTGCTCCATGGGATACAGCAAGGGAAGGGCTTAGGAAACAATAAATACCAACGGTTTCGAGCACAACGTGTTGATGGCCTTTGTTTTGCTTTTTCAAATTGAACGTTTCCAAATAAAATGGAGACCCCAAAGGACATCCCTGTCCCACTGCCATATCGGCCGATGCCAAAGTAACGCGGCAGAGGCCCAGGGAGCTGCCTGCAGGAAAACGCTCAGCTCGTAAAGTGAGTGTGAAATTAATCCCAAACACTTCCAGCTGCCAAGACGGGCTCTGAAACGGGTTACAGGAAAGCAGCAGCCGCAACAGCCGAGGAGACGTGAATCATGCGATGTCAACAAGGACATGTCCAACTGCTTCACCTAAACGCGCCATCAAATCTGCCTCCGCAGCTCCAGTGTGGCACACGGGACCCCACTGCATTGTTATTTGGCTGTCATTGACAGATCCCCGGCCACGGGCCAGGCCCTGCGCTCGGGCTGCTGGGCTCAGGTTACCCTCGGGACTACCCTCTGCAGTAGGAACCGTGGGTCCCCTGGGTCCCCTGGGCCCCGACACTGTGGTGAGGAGACAGAGGCTCACGGCTCCAACAAGCTTACGGCTCAGGTGAACACACTGCCCACGGTC